CCAATAAATACTTTATTAACACGAAGACGTGACAATGATTTACAATATACAAAAAGCTGTATACAAAACATTTTCTGTTTTTTTCCTTATATTTCTTATTCCTGATACACGCTTTTTTGTTTTGTCTTGTTTTGTTTTTGTTTTTTTAACCGACTTCCTACTCTTACATTTTTTAAATGTTTTTTTTATTTAATGTTTTAAATATTTTTTGCTAATTGCTGTTGCTAGTCTTCCTTTGAATGCCAGTCATTTCGAGACACTAAAATACGAGTTCGAGACAGGCATATATCCGTTTCGATACACCTCATACACCGTACAATATATATCATATATATAGGACTTTACAGGTTCAAAACAATCTTATAAAGATAAGTATTTATTGCTATGTTGCATAATTTTTTTTATTTGTTGGTGTGGTTTCGTTGGTGTATAGTGCATCGAAAATCTTTATTATTATTGTCAAGGTAAAAGCATATGAATTATTGACTTTTGAAGCATTTGGTCGGTTGTGCATATTTGCTGGTTAGGAGTTAAAAAAGCCAATAAAGTGCCGTGATAGGTAGATTTTGATCCGCTTGGAGCTCAAAGCTCGATGAATCTACTCTGGAGTTTTTTTGACGTGGATCGAATTCATATACTTTCACCTTGATAAAAATAAAGGTTATACTAGTATATTCTCTAACTTTAATGTGTGCTTCTGATAAAGATTTTTGAAAAAATCGTTGAGTTCTGACTAAGATCTGGTAGTTTTGACTAGTCGAACATTCTTTTTGTCGAGTCTAAATATCTCGTCCGCGTCTAAAGTTTTTGAGCTAGTCGTTTGCGTGTTAAATTTTCTCTCTAAACTTGAATCCCCTTTCATATTTATCTAAAAATTCTTCATAAAGTTTAGAAGATGTGAGTTTCTGATAAAGATTTTGGAAAAAATCATAGTTTTCTGATTAAGATCTGGTAGTTTGAGGAGTCGAACATTCTTGTTGTCGATTGACGAGTTTTGCAAGTCAATAATTCACGGAAAACTTGGTAATGTTTGGTCTGGTATCCTCGTATCTCAACATAGCAATAAATACTTATCTTTATAAGATCGTTTTGAACCTGTAAAGTCCTATATATATGATATATATTGAACGGTGTATGAGGTGTATCGAAACGGATAGTATGCCTGTCTCGAACTTGTATCTTTAAGTGTCTCGAAACGACCCGTCTCGAAATGACTGTGTCTCGAAATGACCGGATACCCTTCCTTTTCTTTCTTTTTTCTTTTTAATTTTTTTTAAAATTTTTTTTATTTAACCGACCTGTTCCTCTACTATTTACATAACAATTGTATGTTTTTTAAAATGTTTTTAAAATGTTTTCCTTATCATATGTTCTTTTCTTAATATTGATAGTTTTAATTACTATGATACTTTTGTGTCTGACTATTAGATGTTGACTAGTATTTTTTATTTCAGTGGGTTAAATGCCTACGGTAAAATACGCTCAACTGGACTTGGTGTTATGTAAAAGTCTCCCCGCATTAGAYTCACTGATAATACAATACATGGTTTGATGTAAAATATATATGTCTCCCTGCCCCCATTTGTCTCATAATTATTAATGCACATGGTACTTCTTTCAGTTCATCTACTCGACAGTAAAGCTATGTTTCTTAAACACCAAACATTTAATAATAATAATAATAGTGCAATTATATAGCGCATATCCAAATGAATGCTCTATGCACTATAATAATAACAATAATAATCAAAAACTCATGATGACTAAAAATCAAAATAGTTTTTAAACAGATAAGTTTTAAGTTGCAACTTGAATTCAAGGACAGTTTGACAGGATCTTAAAGATAGAGGTAGAGAGAGTTCAGGTGCAGCAAAAGAGAAGGATCATCCACCATAAGTTTTCAGATTGTAAATTGGTATCTTAAAGAGAAAAGAGTTTGAAGAACGGAGAAGTCTTGAAG